CCAAACCGCCGCACACCTCATCAAAAGAAAGAAAGAAAAAAGACGAACCATCACCACACAGATCGCAAACCTCCACCGCACAGATCGTGATGCTACCCAAATCACCGCACAAGACCAGCGTTGCAACGACGGCCTTGCGAGGTCTTCGACGACGATGGCAGGAAGAAGAGAGAGGAGATAGAGAGAAGGGGAAGAAGAGAGATGACTAGAGGAGAGAGAAGGAGAAGTTAGAGAGAGAATGAAGATGTGAAATGATTTTTGATTATTAGGGTTTGGACAATTATAATTTTTCTTCTTTTTTAATCACACAATCTTTCAAAAATTATTATTCCAAAATACATTATTTCCAAAAAACAAAAAAAAAACTCAATATAATGGTGCCAAACAAGGGCTAATTTTTTCTGAAAAACGTTTTTTCATTTAATATTTCCTTTACGCTTGTAAAAATTTGAAACTTGATTTTATTGCTTAATTATGCTTTCATCTAAGTTTAATTTAATTTAATTTTTTTCTTTCTAGCAGGGATGGCAACGCAATGGGAAATGAATTAAAAAAAAAAAAATCCACATTTACGTTTAATTAATCATATATTAAACAAAAAACATTAAAATAAAATAAATAAAAAATTTCGAAGCGGGTTTAGAGAATTCAGGGTGAGGAGTGAGGACCATGATCTGCATTGCTATCATCTTTATTAATTGGGACGGAAATTTCATGATGTATTCAAAGCGGTATTTTTTTAGCATGTCTTGTTGAGCTTTAAATGCAACAATACATGACAATTTAATGAACGTGTGTTAAAAAGAGACGTGGGTACCACAATTTTAAAAGACTAGGGATACAAGTGTAATAAATGGTAGGATGGGGACATGATACTCTACATTTGCAAAAGATTTGGGATCTAGTCCAATTTGGATTTGGACTCCTACTTGGGCTCTAATAAGGCCCATGACATTGGTTTTATATAAAAGCCCAAATACAAAAAGCCTTTTATAAATTGCTGTCGCTTACGCCTCGTTGTCTCCTCTCCTTTACGTGCGAACGTTTTTATATTATTCACCAATTTATGCAAAGAAAGTAATGGAGTCAAAACCCTCAAATTCTCCTTCAAGCTTAGTCGACGAGCAAGTTGTGAGTATCATGCCTTTTTTTTTTTTTGCTTTCTTCGTGCATAAATTACGGGCGGGTGCAAATTTTTGGTGATAATTTGTTTCTTGTTTTTCATTAGTTTCCTGGGGATGTCGTACTGGACCTCTCTAAAATGACTAATCAAACCATCAAGCTTGGAAGCGGCCTTCGTCAGGTTTCTTCACTCCCTGGGTTCTTTATTTTAGCATTACAATTTTCATACTATGTACTTATTTTCGCTTTAAAGTTTAAAATTTCAAGTGTGGTGCTGAATTAAGTGATAGAATTGTGTTATGTAATCATAACTTAAAACGGGGACATGGGTGCTTTTGATATTTTGTTATCTGATTGTGTTTAGCGATATTGATGCGAAGAGTGGGTATTTTGGGCTTTTTTTTAGCTCTTTGTTGAATGTGAGCATAAATGTTAGGGTGATTCTCTAAGTATTGGCGACACTTCCTATGCCTCAAAATAAATGTGCTCAATGATGTTTGGAAGTCAGTAATTGTTTATTTTATAAAGTTTTTGGAATTTCAAACTTTTTGAATTTACTTGTTCCAGGAGAACTGGCGAGTCTTGCAGTTATGTGGGCGTATAACCAATGACCTCAAAGTTACATTCTTTGGGTCTTGCCTTTTTCTTGCACCTGTGGGACTTTTTTCGAAGTTTTTAAACTGTAAACAAAAGGGAGTTAGGGAGAAAACATAAAAGTTTGTTTAAAGAGAAAATGGCCCCTTTCTTATATTAAATGATACGAGAGGACATTTCCTATTTCCTTTCAAGTAGCAAGGAGTAGTTATTGAATACATATGATGGCATTTGAAAGAGAAAATATGTGAAACGTACTAATCATTATATCATTGTTTAGTTGCCCAACATGGGAATATTGATAGTTTTTTGACTCCTTGTCCTAATTTCGCAGGATGGTGATGCTATATCTGCTATGAAAGCAGGAAAGCTTAGGTTTGCAAAACCAAACAAGTATTGGGTTGAAAGCTCCCATAAACGGGTGAGTCTAATGCTCAAATTGCTTGGCTAGCAAAATAGTATGGAAAACCCATTACATGGACCAATTATTTTAAACTCATTTAAGATTTAGATTTTAATTTTATTGTCTTCACAAAAACCTATAAACCTCTCTACTGCAAATACAGATCGTTAAATATATGCATTTAAGTGCATATACTGATATACTTTCTTTTTTCTTTTATTTTTTCTGTCAGTCTTCCGGTTACTATCTACGCCATTATGCATTGCTCCCCGTGCAGCAATCTACACTTCTCTCACATTAAATTTCTTCTTGCACCCAAAATGTGTTACAAATCAATTATTATTTTTATCCAATTGTTTCAATTGGATGTAATAAACAAAAGCTTTGTACGTAATCACTGCATGGAACAAGACAAGAATTTTGAGGCTCTTATAACACTTCTATGTTTTTTTGGAATTCCTAAATTTGGAAAAGGCAAAACCATGTGGTCTGTCAGGCATTTTGCTTGGTATGCCGCCCACTATACTCGAACAGAGTCAGGTGAAGCTGACAAAGCGTCCAGTTACTCTGATTTAGTACTTTATTGGGTATAAGAAGGATTGAAGAAGTTGAATTATTTAGGTTGTGTCTGTTGGCCATTTTCATCAGATTTTCAGCATAAATATTACCCTTTTTTTCAATTGGTGGCCCCCACATCCCTCACATCTGGTCAATTGTTGCAGCTGAAGGACAAAGCAACGGTTGAATTTTCAATCAAAATCTGTGAAGTAATTGGGGCCAGACACGCTCTTAAATAGATTCTGAATTTTTATGGTCTTGATTTTTTCTCCAATTGCAAAGTAAATGTTTCGTTCTTTCTTTAAAATTTGAATCCTTTACCTTCCTAAGTTTTTGCTTTCCATTAAAAGGTCAAAGCTTTAGACGTAATAGATGGCGCCTGAGAGCATTGTAGCTTTTCGGCAATAGTCAAACACGGTTTCTGTCCCCCTCTCTTCCATTTTTCCTTTTATTCTCTAATTTCAGATAGGGATTTGTTGTTAAATTAATGAAGTATGTTGAATATTTCCGTTACTCATTGCTACTTTTCTTGGTCAATTCATTTGTGTGCGATAAGATTATTTTTCCTTCATTTTTCTGAATACATTCAAGTTGTGAAGCTTCAAAACAGTCCAATTTCTCCGTGTTCTTGTACTTCTAAAGCTTCAATGGGTTCATGTTTACAAGTCATTTTTATCCTATACCTTATAGATGAATGAAAATGTATTTTTGGTCTAGGAATTGCACGAGTCCAGCAATATGCATATGGACATATGTTGAGTGGGATTGCTTATAGTTTATTGTACCATTTTCTCCCAAATTAGTTCACCTATTGTATGTTTGTTAGATGTTGAAACCAAATTGTTGGGAGAATACGTCACAAGAATTTGCTAAAGTTGCGTTATCTATTTGACATCAATTATAGGTGTCAATGTATCGTTGCTATGGTTATTAATCTATTTTCTAACTTTGTTATTGTCATTATTTGCCTAGTATATGTTTAGATTTGCTTGTGATGAAAATTGTTCTCTCTCTCTTGGTTGACAAGTGAGAAATATTTTATTGTTAAATTCAAACATTCTCAATTGCAGTATGTACCTTGCGCCGGGGATACAGTTCTTGGAATAGTGGTTGATTCAAAAGCAGATGTAAGTACTTATGGCACTTCAATGATGTGTTAGAGGGACAACTAACTGTATGTGCTAGTTATATATTGGCATCTTGAAACTCCTCTTTCAATATTATTGTATATAGAAAATATTTTTCATGCTTTTGTATAACATCTTGTTTGAAGTTCCCTTTTCTTAGATTTTTATGTCTCTGTTTTAAAAGTAATCCCTTGTCTACCAAGAATTATAATATAATGCTTTACTATTTACTTCATTTGGTAGTACTGTAGCCTTTTCTCTTTGGATCTACATAGTGAGGTAGAATAGTTAGCTTCTTGAACTTCAGATTTTATTTCTTAGTTTTTCCTTTCCTTTTTGTACTGATGTGGATATGTATTCTGATGCTGCTGACTCAAACGATAACATATTTAGATGACTGATTGACAAGTGTGCAAAAGTAGATGAGATCATATAATTGTCTCCATTGATTTCTGATGGGGGCTGCTTATGAAGGGAAACGAAACTTGTAGCTCAAAACCTGGGTTTGCCTTGTATTACAGTGTTAATTGTTTTTTTGAAGACATCCACTATCTAATGTCTTTCAAAAGAAAAAAGAGAAGAAAAAAAGGGGAAAAACTCAACGTGACAGTTGACATTGCTATTGATTTTTCTGTAAAATTAATCTTTACGTCCAAACTCACAAGTGTACAAGAGTTTGTGAGCGGAAAATCTAGATATTGTACTGGAGTCATTTTATTCAGAAAATAAATGAAGTAGGAGAAATCATATAAATGAATTTAATGAATGTTGTGAAGAGATGCCAGCATGGCAGTAGAAGCCTCTCAATTTGAGATCATTTATTTGTTGACCACCCTATCTTTTATATTTTCAAGTCAGTATACTTTTTGTCATGTTTTTCTTCAGCTTTCAATTGAAAAATGTTTATTTTTCTCTTAAGCATGGAAACTTGAATGTATGCAAATCCGTTGTAACTTATATCTGTACATGCATTGAGAAGCAGGTCATTCTGAATTAAAATAATTACAATTTTTATTCGCCGATTTGGATATAATGCATGCAGTTCATGTTTTTGTCAACTCAATACTCGTGTTCGTGTGACTATTTGCAACAGAACTTTCTTGTGGATATAAAAGGTCCTACATTAGCGTTTCTGCCAGTGCTTGCTTTTGAAGGTGGAACTCGGAGAAACATTCCCAAGTTTGAGGTGCATTCCTATTTTCACTGAAATTTGTGCTTATCCAGATGTGATACAGCTCTCTATTTTCTGTTCAGGATATTAAAAACGTATGCCAGTTTTCAAGTTAAATGGAAACATAGATGCTTTCAGCAATTTATATTTCTTTGGTACTCTTTATATGTTTGGTGGATTAATTCCTCCTGCGCATGGGGTTTGAAGTGGAATGGTTATAATATATAAATTTGAGTTTTGTTAATTTAGCTCACTCTTGGGTATTTTGAAGAGAGTCAAAAGAATGATTGCTTCTGGAAAAATTTGAAGTTAATGAACTGATTACTCTATGTCATCGTTCCTTTTTCTTTTTGAAGATGTAATTGAACTCTGTTCTTGTAAATCTTATGGAGGTGAATATCATAGAAAGAATATGTCCTATCAATAGTACAATAAACGTTCAGTAGAGAATTACATGATGATGGTTTTGAGATTGATAGGCTACTTTAGTTGCCACTCTCAAGTACTAAGTAATGTGGCAACTGGCAATGCAAGGATTTTATGGTGGAGAAAAGGACTGCTGAACCGAGGGTTTTTTGTCCTCTAGTCATATCTCTCAAATACTAGCACTTTTTAGTTTCACAAACATGTGGAATGCCAACCAGTTAGTTGATTAATGTTATATTTTGTTGAGTGAAACATATTTATAATTTTGTGTTTTGGACTCAATCTGGTACAAAGACTGCTTCACTTTTTTTCCCATTAACGTCATTCTACTGTTACAGTGATTGGGATTGATTTCCATTACCTGCACCCCCACCTCCACCTCCACC